CGATGATGTGACTGTCAAAAAACTTGAATGCGTGGGTCACGTACAAAAACGTTTAGGCACTCGCCTTCGAGCAGTAAAAAAAAATACAAAAGGTATCGGTAACAAAGATGCTGGAAAACTAACTGACAAGGTAATTAATGATCTTACTACTTACTATTTATTATGGCTTAGCTATAAGAAGACATCCACACTCATTGAAAGAAATGAAAAATGCCGTGTGGGCTGTTTATTATCATAATATTTCAAATGACAAAAATCCACAGCACTCTTACTGCCCAGAGGGAAAAAAAAGTTGGTGCAAATGGTGCGTTGCTGAAGCTGAGGGGACTCTCAAATCATTTAAGCATAAGCCTCCTTTGTCAGAAGCAGTTCAAGCAGTTATTAAACCAGTTTTTGAGGCTTTATCGACAGATGATTTGATGACTCGATGTTTGGGAGGCAACACTCAAAATTTGAACGAGTCTGTCAACGTTTCGATATGGAGGCTTGCACCAAAACATTTGCACAGCGGATCCGTAACCATTGATATTGCTTCTTATATAGGTGTCTCTCTCTTTAATGAAGGTCATATTACTTTATTAAAAATTATGGATGTGCTAGGAATCTCTATTGGACTTGAATCAAGTAATTTTGTCAAGGCAGCAGATGAAGCACGTATAAATGCAGCTGAAAGTAATATGACTCCTGCCGCAAGAGCAGCTTCATCATCACGGAAATCGGACCAATTATCTCAAATGCAATGTTACGAAGTAGAAGAAGGTTTATTATATGGCCCTGGAATTGCAGATTAGCTGTAAGTTGCATTAATTTATTGCTTTATTCAAAAAATCGTTAACCGAAACTTTAAACGCGTTTTTCTCGAAACTATGTTTTTGAAACTGGTGGAAAGCATAGAGCAAAAACTAATCGATGGATCCTTTTTTTTTTATTTTAAAGTAAATTAAATTTATTGGAGCTTATACCTACTTTGGGATGAATCCTGCTTTTTTTTTTTTATTCAACTTTAAAGAGCAAAAAAACGTTGAAAAATCGGTATTTTGAGTTCGCATATCCGCCATTTTGTTAATTTTCGACTTTTTATCGCAAAAGTAGGTGTAAGCTCCAATAAATATCATATATTTTATAAATCTTTTTGAAAATTTGCTTTCAGATAATTTTCCGAAGTACCATAGTTCCCACCATCAAGACACCTTTTTTTCAGATCGTCAAGTTGCGCCATCTATAAAATGGACAATTTTGAATATTTTTGACTAAAAAAAATTTTTTGTATACTTTAATAGTTAATAAATATATGTACAAAATTTAACATTGATATCTACTTCCGTCTTTGAGGAAAAAATTCTTGAAAAACACGTCATTTTTAGGTCGCTTGATGAGAACCTCCCCTTAACGCAGACAGAATCCCGAGACACCATTCTGTAAAATTCCTAGGCATGATCCTCTCTTCCGATCTTAAGTGGAACAAACATGTAAATCATATTTGGAATACCTGTCAAAATCCCCTCAAAATTTTAAATTGCCTTAGACATACCTGGTGGGGTACAGACCCATCGATTCTGCTCGGAATTTATAGGGCTCTCATTCATTCCAGACTCGAATACGGAGGTTTCCTTCTTCACAACCTCAGCTCCGAAACCTATCAAAAACTCAACAGAATCCAATTCAAGGCTCTTCGTTTGGCACTGGGATACAGGACGTCCACTCCAATTAATATGATCTTGGCCGAATCCAAGGAACCTACCCTCGATCTCAGGTTCGATTACCTATGTAGAATGTTTCTAACCAAAACTTTAGCCCTAGATGGCCACCCTTTAAACCTACACCTGGACGACCTCGCAGACCTCTTCAAGAACTCCTCCCTTCGCTCGACTTTTTCCACACTTCCCAAGCTACTTTTGTGTTATCATGACGCTATTCACTTCTCTACAATCTCTACTCCGAGGACCGACCCCACAGTGGCTCCCTCCCCTTCCAATCCTTTACCTTCTCACCCAAGGTCGACCTAACCTCAGGTTATTACCTGAGGGATTCACGCGACCCGAACGTACGCATGGACGAGCTTTTCTGCAATCTTGAAAACGAATATCTTCATCTATTTACTGACGGCTCCAAATCCTTCGACAATCCCTTTGTTGGTCTTGCCTTCTCATCCGCGAACGAAGAATACTCAGGCCTCTTTAGAGCACCAGCCTTCCTCCCGATTTTCTCGGTGGAGGCCCTGAGTATCAGAGAAGCTCTATACGTAGCTCGTTACTCCAACTTCAGAAAAATAAGAATCTTCTCCGACTCTAAATCAATACTCTCAGCTTTAAACACAATTGACATTGCAGGAAAAGTCAACTCCCACATCAGTAACATAAAAGATGACATCATGGAATTGGAATCCCGTGGTTTCGATATTTCTCTCGTGTGGGTACCGGCTCACATGGGCATTTTTGGAAACGAATTAGCCGATAGGAAAGCTAAGGAGGCGTCCACCCAGGGAAAAAACACCCTATTTAGATGCCACCCTTGCGACCTTAAGGGACATTGGAAAAAAAGGCTATATGATGACTTCGAGAATTGGATATTAGAAAACTTCCTTAACAAAGGTAGCCTGTTCACCCAGTACTACCACTTCCCCGGTCGTAAACCCTGGTTCGGGGAATGTAAGCTCAATCGAAAGTCGGTGGTTTCAATTTGCAGGCTCAGATCGGGGCATACCTCTTTAAATGAAAGTCTTTTTAGGTTTAGAATTGTGGACTCCCCCGAATGTCCTCATTGCAACACGCTCGAGTCCGCGGATCATATAATTTGGCAATGTCCTCGCTTCGAGGTTCAGAGGGATACCTTATTGCGAAACGGAATGACCATCTTTCGCACCCTGCCTTGGCCGGTCCACTCCCTTCTAGCGACCAAAGATCTGAGAAACTATACCCTATTAGGTCAATTTATAAACGGAATTAACATATTCATATAACCCTTTCCTGGGTGTTCAATTGCAGGCGTTCCGCTGGGTCTAAGTCCGAAACATCTTAAGACTATAAACTACCTGTCGCATTCACTCCACCTACATACGTAACCTAGAGACATAAGTTCACGTGCGATTTATACTATAATCTATGTATTCGCCCCCCCCCCTCTCTTCAAGTCGCTCTCTCACTCTCTACTTTTCTGTATGCATTCTTCTTTCTACCTTGTACCAAGCGAAGACTATTCAACCCGCAACTCACGAGTCACCAAAATCCCCAGAAGCCCCTACAAAGTAAATTATCCTTGTGCTCCTTTTCCCTTTTTCTTTTCTGGCGACTCTCGACACACACATGCGGTAAAGCGACAGCGGATTCGTAATCATACTTCATTCCACCTTTATTATTATTATTATTTTTTTTTTTTTCACCGCTTATTACACAACTTTCCCCTCTGCGTATACAACCTTCCTCAGTTACTCACCCAACCAATTTATCTATAAGATTATAAACATTCTGTTTATCCTCCGACGTCAAAACTATGTAACCCTCGCAAACAAACTGTGATACTATAGCGCTTATGGTCGGATAGGCTAAGTTCCTAGACCTTGTACACCTTTTTGTACACCCTTTACGTGCAATAAAAAAAAAAATGAGGTCGTGATATGACTAAATGATGGAGCCGGAGGTATTTTCTATTTCTCGAGTAGTATGATTTAAGGGTTGGCCAGAGGTATTATCCATTATAATAAAAAAACATAGGCGGAATTCAACAAGCTATAACTTTCGTAAAAATAACGCTATGGAAATCGTTTAAGAAGTATTTTAAAGCTTGAAGTCTCTTTAATTTTTAATCACGTTAACTATATCAATATTATCGTTAATTTTCGTCAAGATATTTCAAACTAAACAAAAAATGGCGACCGCTCAATTTCAAACTTCGTCTTTCAGTTTTCAGAGCGAAAAATTATTTCGAAATTGTTTCGAAAATGTGATACAGACGTTTTAAAAAAAAAACTTAAAACTTTTTACGTATTTGTTAACGAATGTCGTATGTACGTTCTTCAAACATATATGTAATACGATTATGAAACGTTACTTATGTTTAAAGAACGTATGAAACTAATATGTGCTACCTGGAATAATTCATGCAAAAATTTAAACTTATCTTTCATTTTATTAAGAAATTGAAATCGTTTCCGTAGAAAATGCAAATGCCACTTCTAAAATGTATTTACACCGAAAAATAAACGGAATGTCATTAAAGTGTTGAGTATACCCTAAAAATGTACGGAAAACCATATACTGCAAAAAAAGTTATATAGACAAATACAGACAAAAAGATAAGTATAAAAGATTATGAAATAATAAAGAATTTGGCCGAATTTTTATAATGATGTCTTCAACTGATGTAGAACATGACGTAGACCTAGACCTGTATCATTACATCAACAATATCATAGACCAATAATGACTAGTAGAATAGATTTCAATATGGTGTCCTTCGACGTCATTCCGTTACTTGGGATAATTCGAATTTTCGCGTCTAACGTAGATCAGATCGCACATTCGTAACATTCAGTCGCGAAAATATTAATATCGAAAGACATATGGAGAGCAAGACGTCAGACGTCAAGATGTACGCGTATTTCGCGCCGGATGACCGAGAATAATCGTTAAATCTTCTATTACACCGGCCGTACCAGGTGTAATTGCTCATGATTTGAGGAATCACTCAAACATAAAGGACAGCCTTTAATTGTCCGGTATCGATTCTGCAAATTCAGTATATGACAGAACGTAAGAATACCATAAGGTGACCGCACGTGATCCGCGTACAAATAACAAATTATAAATGGTGAACGCGTATTAATGTTCGGCCGAGTAAGCTCAAGTGAAACAACACGATTTTAATTCTATCGTCGTCGCGCTCGAAATCCATAGCGCTCCTCTTCCGCCTCTCGAGATGTCCTCAAACCGGTCCTTAAACGATCGTTCTTTAAACCAACATCGAGCGCCTGTAAGCCGGGCTAATCGTTACCTTGAGCGAGCGAAATGATCGTGCGTGTCTTTGCGGCAATGTCACGTCGCAAATTCATTAATTAATCTCCCGGTAAAATTAAACCTTCCTTCATTCATCCTATGACAGTACGTACAATTACGACGATCGGTCTGACATGTAACGACTGTTTTCACATTATTTACGTAAGAAGAAGAAGAAGAAGAGATCGGCGCCAAGGGCGAGCGCAAGCCATAAGAGAGACCTGCGAGTTCGGTGAAACATCCAGTTGCGAATTTCCCAGCGGCGCTTAGAAACATGGATAGACCGTCATTCTACCTGGCAGCCTTCTTGGCCGTCGTAGTGATGGCCGTTGTCGCGGAGGAGATGTATTCGGACATGTTCGATCACATTAAGCCGGAAGATATCTTGCCAAACGACGAACTTCGGAATCAGTATTATAACTGCCTCATGGACACCGGCCCCTGTGTAACCGAGGATCAGAAATTCTTCAGAGGTTTGTAACATTTTTTGTCGCCGAGGGTGAAGCGGAATCTACGATGTAGTAGCAGACTCGTGTATAGTCGCAGTCGAGTTGGTTCACTTCCAATTCGACTATGACCAATCCAGTCCATTGGAATTGAAAATGGATCAACTGGAACGATCGCGACTACATGACCTTTAGTTTCCGAATACAATTCGTCACTCGTAATTACACGAGCGATTTACTAGGTGTACCGGTATGAAGTGAGCGTTTTTTTGTGAAATCAAAACACTATTTTTTAATGGGAAAGTAAAAAACATTTTATTCAAAGTATTGGCCATTGCTAGTTACACATTTTTCCCATCTTTCAGGCAATTTGTGGATTCCACGCCAATAAAA